ACTTGGCCCGGAAGGCTAAATCCTCCCGCTCCTGCTGCGCCTCATCCACTGTACCTTCCTCTGTGGGAGGGTCACCGATGTTCCCGTCCTCATCATCAGCTTCTTGGCTATTCTTTGGATCAGTTGACCCCCCTTCTGGCCAACCTTCACCGTACCGACGATGCTCATAGGGACACCCATCGCCATTGCGACACCTTCCCTTATTGAAGAACCTGCACAGCTTGCTGTAACCAGGTGACAACACCGTCTTTGGTGTCATGTAAGCCTTTTTGTACTGGTCAGGATCCATGTAGGCTTCCATTGGCTTGTTCTCCCTTTTGCTCATGGATTGCACTGCACCATCAAGCTCCTGCAAAAATAGCTTGGTGTCCAACCAAAGCGCGTTCCAAAACTCATCTTCCCCTTGATTCAGCACCGTTGCCACCGCTTCACCCACAACTGGTCGAGAAAATCTCCTTTTTCTACATGCCAGTTCGAAAAGCGCGTTGTGGTACTGTTTTCGGGAAAAAGTGGTTAACTTCCCCAAGCCTGTGCTTTCTGTACCATCAGGCTTCCAACCATCATCTTGCAAGATGCCACACGCGCGCCGAGCTTCCGCATTGAGGAATGCCTGATCCGCAACACACTCCTGTAAATCTTCCATCGGCCGACCTAACAGCATCCCAGTAATTTTGCCAACATAGGCTTCCTCTTCATTTCCATTCTCCAGAAGAGCTTTGTAGATCTTTTCTCCATAAAGTTGCCTTTCTTTTCGTTCTTCAGAAGACAACTCCTGTACCACAAGCTCTTCATCGGATTGCTCTTCCTCTTGTTTCCAGTCCCATTGACCGTTGGAATCTTGGTACCATTGACCAGCATACCATGAATCCGTCCACCACGTACTCCAGCCGCTGGGTTTCCACTTCCGCAGCGTCGAAGAAGAGTCCTCCACGTACTCTTCCAAAACCAGAAAGGTGTCCAAGATTATGGTACCATCATCTTCCACTCGTTTCACTGTTCCATTGACAGTATCACCAAACTTGAACTGATATGCATTGTTCCCTTCTGCAGGAATCAATACATTCATATCCCCATGGTCCAAAAAGGCTCCATACCCATTGATGCAGCGCACCAGACCCATGATCTCATCTCCCTCTTGATAGCAATGTGGCCCAGGTGACTCCAAGGCTCCCGCTCGGGGCACTTTCCTTACACGCTCTTCAGAAACCATCTCTGTATCATCGGCTCCTGGCGCATCCTTTGTCTTCACCTTTGGGTCACACTGCTCGTCCTGCTCCACGAGTCCCACAAGCTCATCTTTTTTGTGCTCCTGGATTTCAGGACCTCCCTTTTTCTCCGCCAACGGCTTTGCCTCATCTGCTGTAGTTCGCTCGGTGTCGACTTCCAGTGAACTTCCAGACGGCAACGCTTCTCCCTTCATGGGAGTGGACCCATCATTGGAGTCCTTTGTCTCACCTTCTGCAGCAGGCAAATCTTCTTCCACTGCAGGGCAATTGAGTCGATCATCCACGGCAGGCACGCTTTCTTCCACCGCAGGCTCCTTTGGTTCCATGGCCTCCAAAGGAGAATTTCCACCATCATTGACCACAGCTGCCTCATTGGCTCCGGTGTAGCCCTTGTCATTTCGTTCCTCGCTGCTAACTTCAGGTTGCACCAGTGCGTCCACCTGTGAACCTCCATCATCAGCTGCTGCGGAGACCTGCGCCCCATTGTTGCAGTCGCCCGTGGAACGTACCACCACATGCACCTCAACCCGTGCTTCCTTCGCACTCCAGGTAATATCTGGCGCATCAACCCGCGCATCATTGGCGCTCCAGGCCTCATTTTTTAGATCATCCGTGTCTCCAGCTATTCCAGAAGCTTCTTTTTCCCCTTGAATGGCAGAATTCTTGGCACCAAACGAAGAGACCTCCTCAGTCGTAACACACAACTTTTTCTCTCCATCCTCCGAATCTCCAGGACCACCTTCCTGAACAACAGGTACCACATCCACCACTCGCTCTTCTGCAGCCGACACAGTTCCGATCACCTCATTGGGCATTTTCTCTTCTGGATCCACCAATTCCATCGCTGCCCCACCCTCAGAAAGCGCTTCTGTTTCTTCCCGATCCAGGTGTTGAGCTCCAGCGATGTTGGCTTGGTTCCCAGGAATCCCTTCCTCATCAGGAGAACCCGGGGTCGGGGCGTCACCATCAGCCCTAGGACCGCTATCCCTGATAGTAGAGGAAAAATCTTTTTCACCTAAACTATTTACACTACCCTGGAATGCCCTCGTAGACTCAGTCTTCGGAGTAGAGGATGAAGAATCCAGTGCCGCCTCCATTTCCAGCTCATTGCCCAAAGGAGACCCAACCACCTCGTCACTCTTCACCTTTTCACCTACCACCGGCAATGTCCACTTGGTTTCGTGCGTATCCAGGCAGTAATAATATTGTCTCCCATCTTCATGGAGGTGCAATTCCCACATTGTGCCATCACACGCTTGGATCAGATGCTCGTCTTTCCGAAAACCGTCCCTTTCAGAAACCTGTCGCATCTCGTCCTCTTCTTCTGACAGCTGTCGCAACCGTTCAGCCTCCATCTGTAGGATCTCCTCCTCCCCCATGGCGTATTCAGCAGCAGGTGCAGCTTCAAAGCCGTCCGCACCCTTCTGTTTGTGACCGCTTCCACCACCTTGGGAACTCGAAGATGGACCCTTTTTGATCTTGTTCAACGGCCTCCTGGTCGCTTGTAGCACTTCTCCAATCAGATCGGTCTGAGACTCTTGGTCTACCATTCGACCCGAAGTCGAAGACGACGGCTGGTACCCGTGTTTGTGTAACACTCGTAAAACAGTCACCTCCATTTCACGATCTATGCCACCAGTCGCATCCCAGTTCCTTTTTTCACCAGGCTTTGGCGGTACAGAAACAGCACGTCCTTCAGCTTCAGCATTGCTAACCATATCCCTATTGGGATTCATACCCGCATTGGGGCTTTCTGCAACCAAGGCCTCTTCCAGATGTACTTCAGCGTCGGGAATCACCTCTTCCAACACCGATCTTTCACCCAGAGACTCAGCTGCACCATTTCCAGCTCCACCATCTTGTCCACCATCCGAGGCAAGTTGGAGCCATCGCTTCGGAGAAGGCATTGCTTCTTGATCCCAAAACCTTGAAAGAACACTTAACCGCAGGGAACCTAATTTGGGCTCATAACCTACGGGGGGACAACCAAGGAAGGAAATCAACTCCCCTAATCGCCCTGAACTTATATTTCCCAGATCGAACCAAGAAACAACCAAGAACACGGATAAGAGCAACCCAGGGGGGAAGGAAAGGGGGAAGGAATCCACACCCTTACCAAACCCTAAGAACCCAGGCACTACTTTTTGAACTTGTGGCTTTCTGTTCAAGCCCATCTTGAGCCAAATACGATTACCGGGTTCATTAACCCTTCCAACTTCCAACACTAACTCCTTTCTACAATACCAATTGCAGCTCCGCATAGGGTTTAGGGTTTAGGGTTTAGGGTTTAGGGTTTAGGGTTTAGGGTGAGGGTTTAGGGTGCCTCCGTGTCGCCAGAATGACTGTGTGCTTTCAAGCCCTCAAATCTTGGCGCCCTGGTAACCTGCCGTCAGGGTCGGAATAACTACAAATGTTATTCCCTTTTGGTCCCTATATAATCAGACTATCATCACCGGCAAAACCCGGCTTGTATCATTAAGGCCCCTACAGTAGCTCTAATTAAACCCTAAACCCTTGTGTATTATTTTTTTAAGGCCCCTAGGTTACCAAACCCTAAACCCTAAACCCTAAACCCTAAACCCTAAACCCTAAACCCTAAACCCTAAACCCTAAACCCTAAACCCTAAACCCTAAACCCTAACCCTACAAAGTCTGGCAGAGTGTGTTGGACAGCTTGAGAGTGGATCGGGGGCGTGGCATTGGGCAGCCTCGGCATGACGCGGGGGGGGGGGGGGGGGTTAGGGGGGTTTAGGGTTTAGGGTTTAGGGTTTAGGGTTTAGGGTTTAGGGTTTAGGGTTTAGGGTTTAGGGTTTAGGGTTTAGGGTTTAGGGTTTAGGGTTTAGGGTTTAGGGTTTAGGGCTATCAGGGGGGTAGAAGTGGGGATATAAGGGGAAATGTAAGAGTGGTCTAAGGGGGCTTAAGGGGCGCATAAGGTAAGAGTAGTCTAAGGGGGGGTTCAGGGGCGCATAAGGCTCGAAAGTCCCCACACCTCTGTCATGCTTGTGGCAGTGTCTCCTTTCTTGATTGTTGGACCGCGTGTGAATGGCAGACGTTGAGAGCGCCCCTTGCGCGATGTACTGTGCAAGTTGGGCTCACCGGTGGTGGAGTTCAATTCCGGCAATGAGCCGGAGCCTTTGTAGGATGAGCGTGTGTGCTCCTTTTTGCTGGTGCTACTGTGTTGTGTAGATGTGCAACGCTAGAGCCCTGCAGCCCCCCAACCTTCTCTCTCTCTCTCTTTTTTTCCTTTCTCGTTGCCTTTCTCTTGTTTGTCTCTCGCTCGCGCTCTCGCTCTCTCTCTCTCTCTCTCGCTCTCTTTCTCTCTCGCTCGGTCGGGGGCAGCAGCCTACTGTAGGAGTCCAGAGTCTTGTCGTTTGAGCAGTCAAGTCGACTAGGCGAGTGTTCAAAGGTTTTTCGGAGCAGTGGAGTTTAGTGTGTAGGGTTTAGGGTGGGCGTGCGAGGAACGACTATGGGTTCATGTGGGCTTCTATCCATTGGAGCAGCAGCTTCGTAACCACCGCACTCAGCACTAGAATCGCTAGAACTCTCCTGCGTCGCCAATGTGTGTATACTCACATACACAGTATATGTATGGTATGTGTTTACAAATGTATGTATGACAGATATCTTGTTTGTATTTATTTCAACGTTTATGTATTTTATGGGTCCCTATATATCGATAGAAAGAGAGTGGCTTCTCCACAGCCAAGATCTGCTCCCTTCATCGACATCGAGGATGCCCTCGAGATTCTCCCTTTGATCGAACAAGTAGATGAGATGTCAGAATTTAGGGTTTAGGGTTCAGGGCTCAGGGTTTGCAAGTTTGCAAGGATGGCTTCAGAAAAGCCATGTAGTAGGCCTTGGAGGTAAAAGGATTTAGGCTCCGAACTCCTGGCTGTGGCGTCTCAAAAGAAAAAACTGCTCGGCTTCCGGATATATTTCATAAGTTAGGTTTAGGGCTTAGGGTTATTTAGGGTTAGGTAGTTTGGTGCGGAGGGCTCTTGACCTGACCGTCGTTTGGGTTTACGTTGGGCCGCAGGCTTCAGCTAACCAGAAACTCAAGCAACAGTGGCGTTGAAGGTGGAGGACACTTCCCTCAACCCTTCCAGCCCTAAACTTAACGAAGGCTCGAAAACTTGCATCTGCGCAGTAGCAGTGCGCTTACAAGAGCGTGCTTGGACCCTAAACCCTCAACCCTACACCCCTAAACCCTAAACCCTAAACCCTAAACCCTAAACCCTACAGGGCTTGGCGTCAGTCTGCGGCGCATTGTGCCAGAGCACGTAAGCCCCAAGTTGAGGGGCGATACAGCAAGTCCTGTACCCTAAACTCTGCCCAAAGAGCCCAATACCCCTTAATTCAGGAATAGTCCTTACATCATATTAAGGATCCCTGTACAATCTAAGGTATCTTCCTTAATTAAGGAGTATTGGCTCTCTGGGTGAACCTTCAACCCAGCAAAGTCTGCCTAAGCTCCTAAAGTCAGTGAAATGGGCCGTTTGGTAAAGTCTCGGAATCTTCCCGGCTGCTTAGAATCACGGCCGTGCAAGAGTTCAGCTCTGGGCCAAAACGACAAAGGAGCAATAGTTGTCGCTGAGACCTTTTGTAGCCGCGATCCTCGCCCGGGGTTGAGGGCGCTGTCCCGGCGTGACGTTGCAGGATTGTTGCAAACAGGCAAACTCCCTCATCATCCCTCACCCTAAACCCTATGCACCCAAAACACCCTGCCCCTAAACCCTAAGCCCGAAGCCCTAAACACCCTACCCCTAAGCCCTAAGCCCTATACCCTAAGCCCTGTAAGCCCTAAAACCCTACCCTTTGCCCCCCTCTCTCCAGGAGGAGATCGCGAACGCCAACCACTACACCGATGCGGACGGCAAGCGCCATCGTCTGAAGGCCTCACTTTCGGGCCCTCACCTTTGGGCCAACTGTGAACCCTAACGTTTAGGGTTTTGTTGGGTTTTATAGGGTTTTAATTATAGGGTTCTATAGGGTTTTAGAGGGTTTTCGAGGGTTTTATAGGGTTTTATAGGGTTTTAGACGGTTTTATAGGGTTTAGGACCACTTTCGGGCTCACTTGTGCCAGGACGACTATGCCCGGCACAGCCGTCCTACACCTGCCTTACTTGGAGGTTCAGGGTAATTACTTGCAACCCCAACTTGAGCTGTACTCCTAAGCCCCCTAGAAGTCCTCTATAAGTAGGTTAGAAGTAGCCTTATATACTTGGGGGGGTCTCAGCAAGATAGGGGTCGGAATAATTACTAGTCGTATCCCCTTTGTGGCCTTATGGTCCCTACATCATTGCAGACTAACCACCCCCAAAGCCCTGTTCTAATTCTTCAGGCCCGTGTATTACCCATGAGCCCGCCAAGTACAGGCCTTAAACCCTACACCCTAAACCCTTAACCCTAAAGCCCAAACCCTAAACCCTAAACCCTAAACCCTAAACCCCAAACCCCAAACCCTAAACCCTAAACCCTAAACCCTAAACCCTAAACCCTAAACCCTAAACCCTAAACCCTAAACCCTAAACCCTAAACCCTAAACCCTAAACCCTAAACCCTAAACCCTAAACCCTAAACCCTAAACCCTAAACCCCCTAAACCCTAAACCCTAAACCCCTAAACCCTAAACCCTAAACCCTAAATAAACTAAAACCCTAACCCCAAACCCTAACCTAAACCCTAAACCCAAACCCTAAAACCCTAAACCCTAAACCTAAACCTAAACCCTAAACCCCCAAACTAAACCTAAAACCCTAACCCTAAACCCCAAACCCCAAACCCCTAAACCCTAAACCCTAAACCCCTAAACCCTAAACCCTAAACCCTAAACCCTAAACCCCTAAACCCTAAACCCTAAACCCTAAACCCTAAACCCTAAACCCCTAAACTCCTAAACCCTAACCCCAAAAACCCTAAACCCTAAACCCCAAACCAAGTACAGCCTTGCGCAGGGCAGCGAGTCCCTCCAGGAAGCCGGCCTCTCCCTCGAACCTTGGGGACCAAAGGAACCCGAAAAGGGTTTAGGGTTTAGGGGTTTAGGGGTTTAGGAATATTAGGAGTTTAGGGGTTTAGGGGTTTAGGGGTTTAGGGTTTAGGGGTTTAGGGGTTTAGGGTTTAGGGGTTTAGGGGTTTAGGGGTTTAGGGGTTTAGGGGTTCAGGGGTTTAAGGGTTTAGGGGTTTAGGGGTTTAGGGTTTAGGGGTTTAGGGGTTCAGGGGTTTAGGGGTGTAGGGGTTTAGGGGTTTAGGGGTTTTGGGGTTTAGGGGTCTAGGAGTTTAAGGGGTGTAGGGGTGTAGGGGTTTTAGGGCTCATTGACCTCAATTAGGAATTTCAGTAGTGAAGAGCAGTGCCCCCTCCCCCCCCCCCCCCCCCCCCCCCCAATTTTGGGGTTCACTGGCTCCCCCAAGGAGTCGCCCGACCCCTTGCCCCGCGACGCGTCGCTGCTGGCGCACGCGCTGGAGAGCGACCGAGCCTTGGCAGCCCAGGTAGGTGCCCCCTTTTTTTTACCTTGTTTGGGGTTTAGGGTTTAGGGTCTAGGGTCTAGGGTTTAGGGTTTAGGGTTCCCTTAGAGCCAACCCCCAAAAGGGCGCCCCCCCTTTTTTTAATACCTTTGTTGGGGGAGTTCAAGGGTGCCCTTCTCACCAACCCCAAAAAGGGCGGGCTCGTTATACTATGGTAGGCAGCTCAGGTGCTGCCCTGTGGTTTCTTTTGGTTTCTTTGTTGAGCTGCAAAACAGTTGTGCCCTTACAGCAACATGGTACAGGAGGCGGCCCATTTTTGCCTTTTTTTGGTTCAGTGTTCCCTTTTCAAGTAACCAACCCCAAAAGGGTGCCACATACCAATATGGTAGGTAGCCTAGTGGTGCCCCTTTTTCCCCTGTTTCTTGGGTTCAAGGTTTCCTTATGCAGTAACCAGAAAGGGCGCCCCTATCATGATATGGTTACTTTGTCCCCTTGTTTTGGTTCAAGGTTCACGTTGTAAGTGTAACCCAACCCCCAAAACAGGGCGACAACATTGTAGGATGGTTGCTTGGCTACCGAGCCCCGGGGCTTCTGCGCGGCTTCTAGGCCCCCGTTTTCTACTATGTGCTTAAGATCCCTCAAAAACAGAATATTCTTCCTTGTAAGGGTCATACGGGGATTATTTTCTATTTTGGTTTTGGTGTTTTTTTAAGCACAGAGTAGTTCTATTTGTACTATGGCCAGGGCCTGAAAGAGTTCAACTCCCTAGCATGTTGGGGCTTACAAGCTTCAACCCTCCCAGATCCTAAACCCTAAGCCTAAACCCTAAACTTGGGATGTTCCCCCTTTGACTAACAGCCCTTAATAGAGATGATAATGGGGGGGGGTACTATAATCCCTACTAAGGACTGTTAGTAGAAGGGGGAACAACCCAACCTCCCTAAACCCTAAACCCTAAACTCGAACTTCCTAGATTTCCAAAGCTTCCGAACCCCTGATCCTTCCCCTCTTCGTCCCTCCCTCCCTGTACCAGTTCTTGTAGGTGCCAAAAAAGAAAAAAAGCGGTACCAAGCTGACTTGTGGCCTTTCCCCTGCAACCCTAGAACACCAGCTTACTCCGAAGTGTTCGTTCCGGCGCTCCAAATTTCGTCTCGGGGGCCTACTGCACACAGGGTCGGGTTTGAGCATGATTTGTGTTTCATTTTTTATTGCCGTTAGTCCTAACGAGCCTTCTAAAGCGATAACAAACGAGTTTTTCTTTCAGGCCCCCGCCCCCCAAGCCTACCCCCAGTATAGCCCCAAAGTCAGGATATGAGCTGATTGTTGGATTCACCGTCCTGTGCAGCGTTGCGATCATGGCTGCAGACTACCAGTATGCAGGCGTTGGGACGGTTTGGAGGTCTCTACTACTGAGAGGGTCAAGGGTTTAGGGTCGGGGTTGTTCTACTACTTGCTTAAGAACCCCCAACCCTACACCCGAAATATTCTTCCTTAGAAGGGCAAGATAAGGATCATTCTCATTCATTGTTCGGGTGTTCTCATAAGCAAACAGTAGTCAAGGGTTTGTGGTTGGGGGGCGTGGGGCTGGGCCAGCGACGGCCGAGCTGTTGTTCCTTCTATTCCCCACGCATCCGTCCAAAAAAGGGTTTACTTGGGATGTTCTCCCTTATACTAGCAGTTCCTTAATAGGGATGACAACAAGGGTACTATAATCCCTATAAAGGACTGTCAGTATAAGGAGGAACATCTCAAGGGTTACCCCAAACCTAAACCCTAAGTTGGAGAACTGCCCATTCTTATGCCGTGCTCGGAAAGCCCTGACACTCTCTGTCATAGTGGGGTGATATTTCACATTGTTAAGGGTACTTAAACTCAATAAGGAATGGAAACTTCATTCTTTAATGCTATCCCTACCATGAACTGGCTATCCTACTTGGGCACTCAGCGCAAAGGCAAAGCTCTAGGTCCTAGAAAGCGATGCAAGCAACCAGGGCTCCTCTCGAAATCAGCTGAAGGGTTTAGGGTTTAGGGTTTAGGGTTTAGGGTTTAAAGGGTTTAAAGGGTTTAAAAGGGGTTAAAGGGTTTAGGTTTTAGATTTTAGGTTTTGGGGTCACTCACGCCTTCAAGGAACAAAGGGCCGTTGGGAGCACTGCACTTTTGCCTTGTCATTGGCTTTCCGGTTCTGGTCCCCGAGAGCCACAAGATGGCTGCGTAGAGCCCAAACCGCTTTAGGGTTTAGGGCTTAGGGTTTGGGGTTTAGGGTTTAGAGTTTAGGGTTTAGGGTTCAGGGTTTAGGGTTTAGGATTTACAAGGTTCACGTAGGGTTTAGACTTTTAACCGTTTCCGAAATTAGGGGGGGGGGGGTACCTTATTGAGGTCCTGCCTTATGATAAGGGAATCCTCCCATATACCTTATCTTCGTAAACTCCCATATGGGTTTTTCCGAAAATCCTCTTTTCGGAGACTCCCATATACCTATACCCCTAAACCCTAAACCCTAGACCCTAAACCCTAAATCCTCTAGAAGCCTTGTAACCCTCGTCAGGCTACAGCGTGGGGCAGGCATTGGAGTTTCAAGGCATGCACGAGCTGCCACTGGCAGATGCAAATCCAGGCCCTCGGTTGCCCAGGGTTTAGGGTGTAGGGCTTATAGGTTTAGGGTTTAGGGTTTAGGGTTTAGGGTTTAGGGTTTAGGGTTTAGGGTTTAGGGTTTAGGGTTTAGGGTTTAGGGTTTAGGGTTTAGGGCTTAGGCAGCCACCTCGCATAGGGTTTAGGGTTTAGGGTTTAGGGAGTTTAGGGTTTAGGGTAGAGTTCGGACAGCGTTTTTCCGAGACTTGTGTAAGAGCCTTGATGCTTTACCTAGGACCCGGAGTAGTATAGGGCCTTATTACCTTAGGCTCCCTTCTAATCAATCTAAGCCTTTCTAAGCCAAAAAGGGCACCGTTGTCATTCCCAGGTTTATCTTGGGTGAGTTACACGGTTGATACAAGTCGTTTAGGGTTTGTAAGGGTGGGCCATATATCCCCGGAATAGCTCGAAGGTTTTGCCAAGGACGTATGCTTGTGGAGTTGGACTTCTGGACTTGGGGCAACAAAGACACATCTGCTTGCGGGGGGCGTGGAGGTGGGGGTGGAGGGGGGGGGGGGGGGGGGGGGGGGGGGGGGATTGGTTCAGTAACCCCTAAACCCTAACCCCTCCTCTACCCTAAACCCTAAACCTTGAACCCTGAACCCTGAACCCTAACCATATATGGGAACAGATCACAGATCAGAGTCCATCCACGTGCGCAGAATGGATTGGAGTCGCCAGCGTGTGCCTCGATGCCATCTTCGGGATGGACGTGGTCGTGCGAGCCACATGGCATTGGATCACTCAGGAGTGCATACAGGGTTTATGGGGTTTAGGGTTAGGGTTTAGGGTTTAGGGGTTTGGGGTTTTGGGTTTAGGGTTTAGGGTTTAGGGTTTAGGGTTTAGGGTTTAGGGTTCAGGGAAACCTACAGATATGGGGGAGGTAGGGACAGCAATCCCTGATCCTTCTCTTGGTCCTGTCGCTCGAGTTCAACCTAGCCCCAGTCTTCGGCTTCTTTGTTCCTATCGTCTCGTGTTGAAAGGAAACTGCGTTTGAGGTGCCCTAAACCCTAAACCCTAAACCCTAAACCCCAAACCCCAAACCCTAAACCCTAAGCCCTAAACCCTAAACATGGCTGCCGCACCTTCTGGGCCAATGTCAGGGAGCCTCCTAAGAAGCTGCGGGTTCAAGATGAGACGGGTGATCAGGGCGGTGCCCCCAACACCTTGGGGACGAAATTATGAACCCTGGAAGGGTTTATGGTTCATATTGCCTGAATAGGAATTATGGTAGTCAGGGTATATGACCTCAATTTTAGGGCTCGTTTCGTCCCTAAGGCAAACCATGTGGTTTGAAAGATGGTTCTGCGCCTGCCATGGCTGTGGTCCAGGGAATTGTGGTTTCACACGCAACGCCGAGACTGTCGAGAAGATTCGCACCCGTGATGCCATGAAGGAGTGCGAGACAGACTTCTGGGTAGACCTTGAAGGCAGATGGTTTCGAAAGCAAGACAATCGCTGCATCGGTGAGATTCAACAGGGTGGCCGACTGATTTGGGATGTTCAGTGGGGACGTCCTGCAAACCTGGTCGTGACTAAGCTAAAGGCTGTGTCTGGAGATGTGCTCACATATGACGATGCTGATGCAGTCTCATGGGGCCAGGTTCATCGGCATGCGCAGGCCGCCATACACTGGAACAACGGCGAGGTGTGGCTACGGAAGTAGTGCGCCAGCCGGTTTCGTTTCTGCCTCTGTGAGCGAATCGCTCTTGCTAATGCACTCCCTTAAAATTGTCCTCAGGACCACACTTCAGGTCGACGCGTTCTCAAAGCAGAACATGCCGTGCAGACCGTAGCAAGTGGGCGAACATCTACTCGAAAGGGGTTTGTTGCTTGTGACCCAACCCTGAGCTTGTGTTCTGAGCCCCCCTTTTGCCAGGTTTTGATGCTTGCATGAGAAGCAGGGTTTACTATCGAATCTTCAGGTGCAGTGAGGGCCTGTTTGCGATTCTGACTACTCTGATATTTTGGGGACTTTGTAACCAAATCGTTTAAACGATAGCACGTCTGACCCGTCAAAGCGCTCCTTACAACCGGCGCGGCTCCCTGCCGGTTCGAAGCGGTTTAGGGTTTAGAGTTTGGGGTTTAGGGTTTGTCGCCCAGCTGATAGTGCAGAGCCTGGGTTCAAAAAGGGTTTAGGGTTTAGGATTTAGGGTTTAGGGTACAGGGCACAAGAATCCAAACCAGAATGGTCGAGCAAGGAGCAGGACTGCTGACGATTCTTAGGGTTTAGGGCTTAGGGTTTCTAAGGTTTCGGGAACCTTCAACCTCAATGCTGAAGAACCTCCTGGCGAAGCATCACAACACCAAAAGGCAAGACAGCAGTCCAATATAGGGGCCTCAATAGTTGCCATTGGGATTTTGGGGGATTATTTATAGTATAAATATGTGTAGGGAGCACAAGGGAATACGATTAGTAGTGATTCCGACCCCTTTAGTACTCTAAACCCTAAACCCTAAACCCTAAACCCTATAGTACTCTTGAGTCTCTTCGAAGGGGCACACCAAGGCCTTCGACCATCTGGTCTGAACTTGGGTTAGATCGTTCTATAGCTTGGGTAGGGTTTAGGGTTTAGGGTTTAGGGTTTAGGGTTTAGGGTTTAGGGTTTAGGGTTTAGGGTTTAGGGTTTAGGGTTTAGGGAAGTACGCACATCACAAACACAGAGGGAGAGAGAGAGAGAGAGCGCAAATACAAAAAAGGGAAGCAACTTCCTGCCAAGCTGTTCCAGAACCAACAGCTCTCCATTCTACAGACAGAATCCCTGAAGCACAAAAGAGGCTTGCTCAACCTAAAAATCCTAACCCTACGATGGACATTGAAGCCTTGCCTGCTGTGTGCGAGTGTGAGTGTCGAAACCCTAAACCCTTAACCCTAAACCCTAAACCCCTAAACCCCTAAACCCCTAAACCCCTAAACCCCTAAACCCCTAAACCCCTAAACCCCTAAACCCCTAAACCCTAAACCCTAAACCTAAACCCTAAACCCTAAACCCTAAACCCCAAGCCTTCTAAGATCGCCGTACTCCGTATGCGCTTCTTCCGGCTCTGGGTGAACTGGATCGATCTCTTCGTCGCGCCTTGGCCACCCTTAGGGTTTAGGGTTTAGGGTTTAGGGTTTAGGGTTTAGGGTTTAGGGTTCAGGGTTCAGGGTTCAGGGTTCAGTAGGGTTCAGGGCTCGCTCGCCTCCGCAAGTGTGAGAGCCTTCTAAACACTCCTAAACCCCAATTCTTACCCTGCAGAGAATTTCCTAAATCACCCTAAGCCCGAAGCCCGAACCCCTAGACAGACTCCCTTCTCGAGCTTAAGGGTTTTTGGAAACACTGTCCTCCAAACCCCAAACCCTAAACCCTAAACCCTATGAAGGGTTCTTGGAAACGCCGTCCTTCATAGCCAAGCCTGAGAGCCTGAAGCCCAGCATGCTGCCATCCGAATTCAGCCTGGGGGCATGAAGGTAACCCTAAACCCGAAACCCTAAACCCGAAACCTTAAAACCCTAAACCCTAAACCTTAAACCCTAAACTCTGAACCCTTGAAGTACCCCACCTTTCTGCTCCGAGGCTGCTTTGTCAATCGGTGCAGCTCCGCCGCACTCAGCTGGCAAAGCTCTCCCCCAGATACACACAGCCTTAATCTTATTCCCCTATATAACCCCTATATATATATATACACACCTCATATAGTCCCTATATACCTAAGTATCCCCTAAATAACCCCCAAGGGTCCCTTCTTTAGTCTCTTGACAGCCGTAGTCTGCTTTTGCCCATACCGTTGGGGTTTTAGGGTTCAGGGTTCAGGGTTTATAGGGTTTAGGGCCCCCCCCCAAGCCCTTTGTGGTGTAGGTTGCGGCTATCAACCCTTCTGTTGCAGCCTCTGATTCTATTTTTGTTCATCAGGTAACCTGAACATACACCAAGGGTGTGGCTCTTAAGGTACACTTAAGAGACGAGTTTGCAAAGGAGAAAGCCCTCAACCCTAAACCTTCCGTGTATGGACGCAAGGCCCACCATCTTCAAAAGCTTCTACCCGTTGAAGATCCTACAGCGTTTAGGGTTTAGGATTTAGGGTTTAGGGTTTAGGGTTTAGGGTACAAAAGGGCTTAGAGTGTCGGGAGGGTTTTCCTTTGCCCCGTGGGATCTTCGTTGCGGGCCAGCACACCTCCCCGTGATGCATGATGCATGGAACTCTGAACTCTTGGCGGCGATCCACACAGAAGGAAGATGGAGGACTCCAAAACCCTAAACCCTACACCCTAAACCCCAAACCCTAAACCCTAAACCCTAAACCCTAAACCCTAAACCCTAAACTTCAGGCATCCTTTATTGCAGGCTTCGACCCCGCGTGCTCCGCAAGATAGGTTGGCAGGGTCAAGTGCCTTGGGGGCCACATGAACCCTAAAGTTGGGTGTCATGTACCTGATACTACTACTCTAAGCCTTATTAAGGTATATGAGCCATAACCCTAAAGTTGGGGGTCATACACCCTACAAATTACGTACCACCAATCCCCATTCAGGTATATGAGCCAGAAACCCTTTTGGGGTTCATGAGGTCGCAGCCTGCAAGCTTACGCGCCTATAGGCGCCCGTAAAGATTCTGATGACCGTCTCCCATGCGTGGCGCGTGCTTCTCCAAGCACATGCGGGTTTCCGATGTCAGGGGATACCTGATTGGGGCGTAAAGTAAGGGTATCCTACTATTTGGGGTCTATATAGGGGTTCCCCATTGTCGTGAATCCCCGCATGACAAATCTCAAACCTTTTGTGCACCAGGCTAGGACGCGGCTATGAGCTGCTCACAGTTAATTTGCTTGCGGGAGGCCTCTGGCAAAATAGGCCTCTTGCAAAATAGGGCGTTTGCTGGACGGAGGGGTTAGGGTTTAGGGTTTAAGGTTTAGGGTTTAGGGTCCCGTTTGGAACATGTTTGGGATACTGTTTTGTGCCCTAGCTCTGAGCTTCTGGGCACCGTGGCTCTCTAAGGTTGAGCGTTTACGGGATTAGAAGGTACCCTAAACCCTAAACCCTATTGAACCGGCTATGGCAAAGGCTTCGGGTTGATTAGGGTTTCTAGGGATCAGATTTGTGCACGGGTCCATGGTAATTAGATCCAACCAAGTACGAGATCCTCTGGCAAAAAAGGCTTCAATAGGGTTTAGGGTTTAGGGTTTGGGGTTTAGGGTTTAGGGTTTAGGGTTTAGGGTACCTTCCAATCCCGAACTGCCTGTACGCTTAATGCTCCAACGCGCGCAGACCCTAGATACTCACGGCTGCAAACCTTTCGGACGCAACATGGGTGTTTTTTTTTTACTGCAAACCCCAACCCCCAAACCCCAAACCCCAAACCCTAAGCTGATTGCCCCCTAGAATCAGGCGAGCGCAATTTCCGGCATCGACGCAGGATTCAATGTGTCTGGGCTCGCACCTGGATTCGGGCGGAGGGGAGGGAAGATGAAGCAGGGATCCAGCTGAGGGTTTAGGGTTTAGGGTTTAGGGATAGGCTTCTGCATATTCGCCTTGTAACCCACAGACCCCAAACCCTTGGAGGAAATCCATACATCTTCGACTCCGCTCATCTCTTAAGCCCGGCATGACATGCGAAAACCTTCTGCCCTAGCTCTTGCAAGGAGGGTTTAGGAGTTTGGGGTTAGGGTTTAGGAGTTTAGGGTTTAGGGTTTAGGGTTTAGTGTTGAGCCGAGGTGTGGGTGCTGCGGATGCTACGCCTAGCCAAAGTTGCTAGGGCGCTGCGCTTCCCAGCAGCATTGGATTTAGTCCCTTTCCCTGATATGCCCCCCTAAACCCTAAACCCTAAACCCTAAATCCTAAACCCCAGTCCCCCACCCTAAGTCCGAAGCTCTAAACCCTACACACTAGCATAAGAGGTTCGATTCGGCATCAAGGAGACTACTAGTCTTTGGCGGGTCCGGCCCTATACTAAGCCTGTGCTACCCCATCCCTAGACCCCAAGCACCCTAAACCCTAAAATCCTAAACCCTAGACCCTAAACCCTAAACCCTAAACCCTAAACCCCTGTGCTGGAGGTCATAAGAAACCAAAACCCTCAGCTCTAAGCCTCTGACTGAGGGAAACTACCCTCTTCTTTTTCTGCTAGGATGCTAGCTGAGAGTTCTCCTGCCTCGCAGTTACGAACCAAGGCTACTGGTGGGGCCGTGGGGTTCGTATTGGAGCAAGAAGTTGAGAGGGTTTAGGGTTGTGGGTTCAGAACTGCTGGGTTAGGGTTGAGGAGTTGGGGTATAGAGTTAAGGTTAGGATTTGGCTTTGCTGCTTCTTATTGGGCAGTGGGGAGCACGCTCGGTACCGCACTAGGGGGGGGGGGGGGGCGATATGTACATTTGCGTAGATAAGTATACATACATGCATACACACATACGTACATACATGTATATGTGTATGTATGTGTGTATGTATGTATGTATATTTGTGTATGTATGTATGTAGGTAGGTAGGTATATATATATATATATACACATGTGGAGGATCATGGGGAGCGGCGTTGAGCGGGGCTGCATCCACTCAGCCACTCCCGCAGAAGCAGCATGTAAGCTTTCTGCAAGTCCGATAAAGCTCAGAGTCTAAGCAAGAAGAAAGCAAACACTTTGGACATCCGAAACCTACAACAGCCCACACAACGGCAACTACAGCGCTCAAAGGACCCCAAACCCTTCAGCAAGGCTTGATGCGGATGCGCCGTGCTCTGGAGTCCTTGTCCCTTTTGCTGCGGTGCGCCGGGGAGCCAAGACCTACATAGAGTGCAGGCGATGTGTGAGGTTTCGGAACGTTCCGTACAAGAGCCCTTCTTGGGATACTCTTTACCATCAGTCTGTCCTGATCAGGGGTAGTTACTACTAAGCTGTATAGGAAAAGAGCCCCAGGAGGGCCCTTGACCCTCTGTAGCTTACCTATGCAATATGCGAAAGGGGCTTGTCATGATTTACCACAAGGGCAATTGAAACCTTTTGTTGCGTGCAGGAGCCTCTACAACCTCCTGTAAAGCAAGAAAGGCCGTGGCCATGTAAATCCTCGAGCCAGGGCTATATACAACCTCCCCCCAACAACTTGGCCTCGGCCGGTCATTACACGAGTGCTATGGCTTCGGGTCACTTTCTGCGGCTGGGCTGCCTCTTTCTGGCGTTGGAGAGAACTTGGGGTGCCGGCTGCTCCACAATGTGTCCTGCTGGTCAGTCGTATGCAGCTACCACCCTCTCAAGCCTCGTGACAGAGGCCGGCGCGGACTTTGGGGCCATCCAGGAAATCCAGATCTCGGTGCCTTCAGGCGCACTTGTTGAGCTGAGCACCAATAGCACCGGCTTTGCCGAGAACAGCAGCTGCCCTGTGCTGCGAGCCATCCGAGAGGATGAAGGGCAAGACAAGATCTCCTCGATCGGCTGGGCCTTCGGCTCCCCGAGCTTCGACTCCACCAGCGGCATCTTAACCGTACCCATGACATGGTCTTGCCCTCCCTACGCCATCTCTTCCGCCAAAAGCTCCTCAGCAGCCCTGGCCATGGCAGCCACAGCCTTCGCTGTGCCTTGGGGGACGAGTTATGTACCCTAAAAGGGTTTAGGGTTCATTGATACTTAATGGCAATTATAGTACCCTAAAAGGGTTTATGGTTCATATACCTTATAATAGCAATGATAGTAGTCAGGGTATACCACCCCCAATTTTAGAGCTCATTTCGTCCCCAAGGTGGCGGGCCGGGATGCCTTTGCCGCAGCAGCCGGCGCGGCGGCCTGCGCCACCGGGGTCCTGGGCGCATCCTTCGGTGAAGGATTCTAGGGATCAGTGTTCTATAGGGGTCCTTTTTTTTTTTTTTTGGGGGGGGGTAGGGGGGGGGGGGGGGTTATGGGCTTTCTTATGTATGAAGAAAAAGGATCCTTTTTTTTTTTCTTCCTGTAGGGGAACAGGGATTAAGGATCGATGATGTGCAATGCCGCCTGCACCCCATGGCTCCACTTGCGGATGGAGGGCGGGCAACCCAACGTTACCTTCAACGGCACCTCCATGACATTCACTTGCCCCGATGGAGGCTGCGGAGGGGGTTCTGAATGTTTGGGAACGACTGCCCCGGCCAATGTCTGCGAGTATGGCTTCGTTGACGGCCGGCCTTTTGTGGACGAGCGCGGTCCGGTGTTCGCAGCTGTCACACAGAGCAACGGCAGCTGCTGGGCAAGCCCTGTCCCCAGCGTGGCATCGCGCGCGCCGTCGCCGAGCGAGTTGCCGGAAGCTCGGCGCCAGAGCGCAGCCCAGCGCTGGCGCTTGGCTGGGCTGACGGAGCATGCTTCGGTGGCGTCCTTCTCCCGGGCCTCCTTGGAGCTCATGGCCGTGGGCGCCCCAGCGGACCTCCTGGCCGACACGCACCAGGCAGCATTGGATGAGATCCGCCATGCCAAGGTGGCGTTTGGCCTAGCGCAGTACTTTGGGGGTGATGCGGCTGCGCCCGGCCCGCTTCCCATCGGCACAGTGGCCGTGGCCACCTCGCTGGCCGAACTGGCTGCGAGGACCTACACCGAAGGATGTGTGGGAGAGACCCTGAGCGTGGCCAGGGTTCAGCTGCAGCTGCTGGCTGGCGACTTCCTCCCCGAAGAAGAAGCTGCGATGCGCGCCGTCTTTGCCGACGAGGCCCGGCACTCTGCCTTGGCTTGGCGCACCGTTGCCTGGGCCTGGAAGCACCTTGGGGACGAGTTATGAACCCTAAAAGGGTTTAGGGTTCATAGTACCTTAATAGGAATTATAGTAGTATAGGGTATACCACCCCAACTTTAAGGCTCATTTCGTCCCCAAGGCAGGACCCTGCAGCCGTCGGAGAAGCGCTGCGCGCAGCGGATGCGAAGAGGTCGACGCCGGCGGAAGGGGCGGCCGAGTTGCAGCTTGAGCTCCTTCGGCTCACCCGGTCATGGTTGGAGGGGCTGCTGGCCGGGAGCACTTGGCCTCCAGCTGTGGAAGACGTTGCCGCCGGAGAGTCGCTTGCCACCAAGGCTGCAGCAGCGACGGCAGAAGAGGTTGCCAGGGCCCTACGTGCTGAGACAACCATCTCAGTCTAAGATGGTCTAAGCACCAATGACTTCTCTGACACTACGAACACGGTCGAAGCACCGACGAACTTGAGCCTATCGCCTTTTTTCCTATCCCTTGGGGACCAAACCTGCACTACTAAATCCCGTACTAAGGTATACGAACCTGGAGTTTATGTGTGGTCCCCAGGGTTGTAGTTAGTTATAAGGCCCAAGCGCACGCTTTGATACAGAAGGCTTTGCTGCCTGCTTGGATGTAGAGGCGATGGACGCGAGACAAAATGGGATGTGTCACCAATGCAAAGCAGGATCCTTCTGTGATGCTTTGATTGCCTTGGGCGAAGTTTGGGGGGCTTAGGGTTTAGGGTTTAGGGTTTAGGGTTAGGGTTTAGCGTTTAGGGTTTAGGGAGAGACCCGAACACCCTAAGCTTGATGAAGCTCCCGGAGCACGCTCCTCCGCCCGCTCAGGTTCAGTCCAGCTTGCAAGTCCTGTTCTGGTCTTTGGGCTTGCTGGGCGTCATCCAATGCATCGCAGGCGCGATCGGGGCGTTTAGGGTTTAGGGTTTAGGGTTTAGGGTTTGGGGTTTGGGGTTTGGGGTTTGGGGTTTGGGGTTTGGGGATTGGGGATTGGGGTTTGGGTTTTGCAGCCTAGAGTGGTTGAAGTGCTTGAACTCGGTGTCTTCCAGGTGTGGTTTCGTCTGCCCAAAATCGCTTGGCAGGGCCACTTTCTGCGGATTTCGGGCTGTCGCTGAACGTTTACGGGGGTTAGGGTTCTAAACCTTATAAACCCTCAACCCTCAACCCTCAACCCTCAACCCTCAACCCTCAACCCTAAACCCTAAACCCTAAACCCTAAACCCTAAACCCTAAACCCTAAACCCTAAACCCTAAACCCTAAACCCTTCCCTGGAAGTTGCAAAGGTATGGTCATCGGCCAGCTTCTCATGCCCTACATGAGGAACGAGTCGATCGACGCTGCTCTGCCGGAAGGGTACTGGGAGGTTAGGGTTGAGGGTTTAGGGTTTAAGGTTTAGGGTTTAGGGTTTAGGGTTTAGGGTTTAGGGTGTAGGGTGGCACACGCACAAGTATTCAAAGACGAAAAGGCTTTCTGGGTACTAGGTCAGTTTGCACAGGACTTCCAGGCCAAGTGCTTCGGATCTGACCTTGGTTGCTGAGCGCACTCGCGTTGAAGCTGGATGGCAGCTCTACAAGATGTACTTCAAGAAACTAAAACCTACTTTCTGGTGGCCTGCCTAAGAAAAATGTAAAGGAGGATTATATGCACAACCGCCCTAAACCTCAACCACCCTAGACCGGAGGACCCACAAAGAGAAGCACAGCGTTTCTTTTGAACGCGTGGGCTCTTATGGTAGTAGGAGAGCCCTGTGGACGCTTCAAGTTTCCAAAAGGGATGCCGAAATCCCAGCCTTTCAAAGACCAATCATTTGAGACAGAGCAGCAGAATATACTCGTACTAATAATATAGAATTGATATAGCAGATTTTTTAAATAGACTTCAAAATCATGCAAATGTAGAGACATGTAGCAATGTAACAGTACCCTCCTACATCAACATGTTAGTATCTTCATATATTGTAGCGAACTGCTAGAATGCTGCAAGAAAGCAGTTGAACGCCACATGCTGCAGGTCGTCAGGAGATCAGAGGTCTACAAATACTTTGGCACCTTCAACCGGACTTTGCTCACGATGTTCGAGGCAGGATTTAGGATTTAGGGTTTAGGGTTTATAAGGGTTTAGGGTTTATGGTTTCGGATGCAAAAGGATTTAGGGTTTAGGGTTTAGGGTTTATGGTTTCGGATGCAAAAGGGTTTATGGTTTAGGGTTAGGGTTTAGGGTGTAGGGTTTAGGGTTTGGGGTTGCACAAGGGTTTAGGGTTAGGGTTGCCAGAAAAAGGGTGTCAGGGGTGCGTGTCGTGTAGGGGGTTCGGGCCCCGTGCCCCCAATGTCCCACAGTGATGGCTTTTGATGAGGCTTAGGGCTTAGGGTAGTTGATGGCTCAAGTGTGAAACAGGGTAGTTGATAGCCAGGCAAGGGGAAATCCCGTGTACTTCGTTACTCACTGGGTAAATCAGTCTGTGCGATTGAAGGTACCTGTTTGTGGTAAAGGGAAACATGGACAAGGTTGTGGAACAGCCCTAAACCCCAAACCCTAAACCCTGCGTAGCTTTGATTCTCCTTTTGTTTAATTTTAAAACTCTGGTGGGTGTAGAACTCATTCCTTTCACTCTGGGAGTTTCGGTTCAGGGTTTAGGGGTTAGAGCTTAGAGGGCTGTTCCACGCCCTTTGTCCGCTCTTAAACCAAGCATGCCGATGGCATCAGACTCAGACACACCTAGGTGCAGTCTGCAGTAGCATTGGCCACTCGCGTAAAAATTGCTCTTGCTCTTAGAGTGCTTCCGTGTCTGGGTTGCACAAATGTTGCCGATCATGAACGGAGCGATTTCTTACCGATATGGCTACAACGATTCAGCAGGGTCCTCAGCAACACATAGGGGTTTCCGAAATTGGGGGAACCCTTTTTGGGTTCCCTTGAAGGGGATTCTCTTCTATTTGGGGTATAAAAGGGGTACCTCTATTTTGGGAGACATACACATATCTCAGCCGCTCATGGCGATATGCCGTACCTTTCGGGGCGCCCTTCTTTAGGCCATCTAAACCTACTTCAACCAAGAGCAAGCTTACTTTTGCCTAGGTTTTTGGGCGACCCAAAAACTGCAAAGTCGCTGCCCGAGACTCCCCAAAACTTGTCAACGTGCGGAGCCCAAATCTTTGATATGAAACAGTTTTTTATGTTACTGTTTTTGGTGAGTGTATATAAGGTTCCTTGTGAATATTGGTGAGTGTATATACCTGGTGTCCTTTTGGGGGTACAAGAAATATATACCCTACTTCATATCCCTTTGCAACCCCTACGGCTTTCAGTGTATCTCAACATTGGTACAGCACAATACCAGCTTCCCACAAGAACGCCCGTGAGTAGATTTATTCTGCTCAGCAAGGCCTATAGATAGTTAAGGGTTCAACCTAAACCATAGCTTTGTCTCTGCGGGTGACAAAAACAATCCTAAACCCTAGACCCTAGACCCCAAACCCTACGCCCTAAACCCTAAACCCTAAACCCTAGTTTAGGAAACGTCCCTGGGCCCCCAGATGATGCCTTAAGAGGTACTTTTTGCCAACTGGGCGATCCCGGCCCGGACTTGCATCGAGAACGCTCCCTGGCAGACAGCTGGGGGGTTGGTTTAGGGTTTAGGGTTTAGGGTTTAGGGTTTAGGGTTTAGGGTTTAGGGTTTAGGGTTTAGGGTTTAGGGTTTAGGGTTTAGGGTTAGGGTTTAGGGTTCAAAGATATGATAGAACCAATTGCTGAGCATGACTGGGATGGGTAGCTTTTTGCAGGCAGGAGTCTTGCCTGAAGCCAGGAGAGGGTTTCTGAATGCCGCACCTCTCAAGAGCTCAGGGGCCCAGCCGCACGCGCCAGAGGGTTTTTAGGGTTTAGGGTTTAGGGCTATATGTCATGCCTGTTTCCCAGCTGATAGTGCAGAGCCTGGGTTCAAAAAGGGTCTAAACCTAGAAGAAAATCCGACGGAGAAGCGTTAAGTTAGGCTGCAGAAGGGTTCTAGGATGACCTCTTTGTGGCGCGGCAGCGTTTCTTGCCATGATCCCCTGCTTACCTATACCTACCTTGGGGACCCTAAAAGGGTTTATGGTTCATATAGCCTTAATAGGAATTGTAGTAGTCAGGGTACATGACCCCCCAATTTTAGGGTTCATTTCGTCCCCAAGGTACCCGATGGTGGGCTTGTGGACATACTCGCGCCCCCGGTTTCCACGTCTCAAGAGCCAAGGGCTTCCAACACGCAAAACCTTTCGAAGTCACAGTGGCACTGGTCAAACCCCACAGCCCTAAACCTTATAGAAGCTAGGCGCCTCAAGCTGTGAGGTAGGCTTGGCGTCAGAATGCCCCCAAACCCCAAACCCTAACCCTAAACCCTCGGCAGCCGAGGTCAGTGAAGGCTTCATCTACATATTCATCTTCTACCGCTGTTTGGTGGGCTTCGCGGTATTAAACGTGGCCCCCTGGACAGCCAGAACACAGGGATTTTGGGGTTTAGGCTTCAGGGTTCAGGGTTTTAGGGTTGTGCCTCTTGCGTATGTTAAGCGCAACACACCTGTTGTATTCAAGTGCAGTTCATGCCAAGACAGCAGGTTTCTGAAACTCACATTCCACGCTGCGTGTCCGTCTGAGTCAAATCCAACCCTAAACCCCATAAACCCTTCAACCTTATAGAGTCCATAAAGACTTCCCGGGGAACCTTGGGACCGCATGAACACTAACGTTGGCGTCAGATGCCCTTGTAAGCCCGAGTAATGTCTGTGAACATAAACCCTTTCAGGGTTCATGTGGTGCCCAAGGGTTGAGTTTCCCGAAAATTCGGGCGACCCCCCGACACGAGGACCTTGAATGCTTGGAAACGCCATTTCAGCATATATATATATATATACATATGTATATATATATACATGCAATATGTATCCAGCAAAATCAGGATTCCAGGGTTTTGGTGTACCTTTGTGGAAGCGGCTTCCCGACGCAACGTCGCAGTTTGTCGTGGAGCCTTTTTGAGCCCAAGGAGCCAGAGCGGAATCGGATGCAGAGTTGTGTTGTGCCCCCTAAACCCTAAACCCTAAACCCTAAACCCTAAACCCTAAGCCCTAAGCCCTAAGCATCCTAAGCCCTAAACCCTAAGCCCTAAGCCCTAAGCCCTAAGCCCTAAGCCCTAAGCCCTAAGCCCTAAGCCCTAAGCCCTAAGCCCTAAGCCCTAAGCCCTAAGCCCTAAGCCATGTCATCGACGCCGAGTGACTCCCCAGAGAGTTTGTGGAGCTATCGGAGTCCTCCTGCTGCAGGTATCTGCCGTCTTTGTGCAGCAGACCATGAAAGTGCCTGGCTCGGAGAAGACGAAAACCCTAAAACCTAAAACCCTAAACCCTAAACCCTAAAACCCTAGACC